TCTATAAATTAGATATTTTTTTCACTAGATGGAGCTCTAGAATAATTGAAACTGCCCTTAGCCCAATTTTTTTTAAAACTTTCCTGTAAGCCAAATGTTCAAATTTTAAAATAATCAAGTGTTAGGTTTCACATATATTTTTCCTTATTTTGAATAAAATTGACTTAAAGCCATATTTACCTTGGAGTGTTTAATGCAAGACTTTTTTGTGAAGCGTTCTAAAATATTGGTGTGTGGGGGGTGTTGTGAGCAAGGTTGCTCCATTATCATCTTCAGAGAATATTTATTACCAACCTACTCGTACTCTTCTATAGTCATGCTATCTCTTATAGAAGTAAAAACAGTATTTTGTTCTTTGTTTTGTTATTTTGGAAGTTTTCTACAGAGCCATTTGTAATGACCTTTTAAAAATAGAAAAAACTCTCTACTGCATTGGTTTCTGTTGAAAAATGGATTCATATGCTGGTATAAATTCTTAACATTTTATCAATGCCTTAATTGTCAATAAACATTTATTAAATGTCTGTCTCTCATAGAGTATTGTACTGAACTCTGAGCATATTCAGAAGGACATAAGATAATGTTTCCGCTGTAAAGAATGTTGCAATTTCATTGATGAGAGGTGATATGTAAATATGTACCTATGTAGATATGACCGTGTGTCTGTACAGATCGCGAGTTTTATAAGGTTCGAAGGCATGAACATCCTTTAAAGGATAGAGGTGGGTCTTTAGCTGGACTTTAAACTGCAGCGTTAAAGGGGGTCCGAGGCAGCAGGAGTAGCCTAAGGACAGAGGCTGTGCCTCTGCTGACAGCCGTCTCCCCAGTGCCTAACCCACTGCCCAATATAAACATAGGTGTCTAATATGTGCTGGAAAGAAGAAAGGAAGACAGGCTGGCAGGAGGCTGGCAGAAATGGAGGTGGGACTTCCATGTCTTCCTTTTCGGAAGAGCACTGGTCTTTGGCCCATTTGTGCGGGCTCACTTTCTCTCATTTGGATTCTACCATTTTTAGAAAGTACATGCTTTTGTGGAAGCCAGGTTTTTATATCGAAAGGATGCTGAAAGCTAGGGAAAGAGAAAAAGAACTTCCCTCAGAAGGAACAGGCTCTTCTCTCCTGCACCTTTTTGGCCATATTGGATAAGCTGCCCCCTGCTTCGTGACCTGTCGCAAGAGTTTCCTTGCATGCCCTTTGATGTGACAGTAGCAGATGGCCCACTGGATGCCTTATTAGCCACATAGGATAGCTGCTGTGGTAACAAAGCCACTAACTATGAGAAGCCCTGAACCATACTTTCCTCCCTGGCTAAGCGTTGCTTATAGTTCAATGACAATATGATAGTATGTCCCCATGCAGGCCACATTCTGTTCATTCTTTGTTAACTAACAACCTCACCTATACCTGGAAGGGATCAGCCTTTCTAATGATCCAAAACTTCTCATTTTACAGATGAAGATATCAAATGCAAATATGTTAAGTAAGCTTATTTGTTCATGCACCCATGTATCATTTATTGAACATCTATGTTCCAGGCACTGTACCCAACCTGGGGGACACTGTAGTGAGCAAAACAAGTGCAGTCTTTATCACGGAGCTCAAGAGGGACTGAAACTCACATCAACCAATTTCCAGGCCAGTGTTTTCCCACTGCATGATACACACATGCCTAGGAAATAGCCAAAGGAGGCTCCGTCAGTCAGGGCTCTGGCAGGAAATAGAAGGCACACTCAACTGGGATTCTGAAGAGAGTTTTGAACGAACTATTTCCAGAGGTGAGGGTGGGCAAAGGAAACCAACGAGGAGCACTGAGGCAACCCAGGACAAAAGCTAGTGAAAATCCACCACCACCTGATGCTTTAAGGGCAGAGCAAGAAACGAGGGTCGACAGAGCCTAGTGAGAACTGGAGCCACCTGACGAGGTCAAGTGGACAATGGGCCACCTGACGAGTGTTGTAGTTACAGATGAAGGAGCTAGAACTAGTGTCAGATAACGTCAAGGGAGGGAGGGAAGAAGTGCCCCAAGCTCTCTCTCCCCACCGGTGCCTTTTTAGCTGAACTCAGGCAGAGGCTGAAGGACAAAGAGCAAGGAGGTGGAACTGGGGCACAGCCCACAAGAATCAACGCTACTGCCAACCCATCCACTCCCACCTCACCCCTAGTCACAGTGCAGGACAAGAAGGTGGAGAATGGATGAGGGTGGGGTGGGGTGGGTGCAAAAGGAGCATGAAACTAAATGAAGGCAGCCTTTTATTACTGCTTCTCCCCATTTGAAGTTTTTCCAAAATTCATATTATTTCAGCATTAAAATAGAAGTGAGAACAATTAAGAAATAAAAATAAGGGAAAATCACCATTGCTGCAATGGGTAGAAGATTTTTTTAGATGAAATAACAGAAGTCTTAAAAACAGCAAAAAGGCTATTTCAATATAATATTGAAATATTAGTTACATTTAGTTTTCATCCCTAGCTGTGGATTTTGATCCACACATTATTGTACATACTGGAAGATAAAGCAAAGTATCCTTTAAAAGGAAATACAGAGACGGAGTGTAGCTGCTGTGACCACAAGTAATGTGGAAATATCACCCAACTAGCAATGAAAAATCTTTGATATTTGAAAGTATATAAATACATAGATTTCCTCTCTGCAGCAGGCAACCCTGTAGAGCTCTGTGGAAACGTATTTCCCATTCCACAGTGAAAGACGATGGATCAACAGAATTCCTTTGAGGACTTTTTAAAAAATATATATCTCATAGATTATTAAGAACTGTGTTAATCTATCCCCCTCTTAAGAATTTAAACGGATACTTTTTCTTCTGTCTTATCCCCTTCCTTAATATAACCTTGCTCAAGTATTCACAATTTGTTGTCCTTTTTTGTCAACCAACTTGTTCTATACAGTATGCCCCTGCCTAACATTATTTTTACCTAAGCATGGAACTAAGTCAATGAAATTTTATTGTCCCTGAAAAGTTTCTACAAGATTAAATTTGTACTATGAGGGTTTATTATAAAGACATTATTATATAAGACACGTCTCCTCATCTTCTCTTAAACCTAAATGTATGGCCGTGGGCCATATTTTCAAGGCAATATTTTCATTGTACTTCAATTTTACATTTTGTTTTGTGTAAATAAAATGATTTGTGCACTCATAGTGAATGAAAGAAAGTGTTAATTTATAAACTTTAATTGCATGAATTCAATTAGTAGTTTAAGACCATTTTGACAGTGGGGCCTCTAGGGTACTGTGATAAGAAATGGTAACTATGCAGAGATGGAAGTAACCTTTATTGCTCCTAAGAGACCCCTAATTTTGAATTTGTTGGTTATTGAGAATATAAAAAATTAACTACATTATTGAATTAGCATGTGTGTTACATTTAATGACATTTCAGTCATTTCTAGACTACATTAATGGGAAGTATAGATCCCTTGACTATATGGAGGAAGAATTCTAATATACTAAAGAGACATAAAAGATCATCTCTTATTAAATTGAATTTTGGCATTTTGTACAACTCCATTTCATCAGACATAAGAAAATATGGCCATGCAAGTCAGAAACAAGTTTTTTGATGTGATTTCTCTGTTGAAGTTAGGGATAGTGGTTTAAAAAGAAAATTCTAAAGAAAAAAAGAGACCTAACATTTTTAAAGGAATAATTTCCTTTCAAACATATTTTTTGCTTGGGGATATCAATTTTAAGTTGTCATTTTTACCAAAGCATTTGCTTTGAACTTAGTTTTTATACTACTCATAGCTAAGCCTATGCCTATTTGATGGTAAAAACAAGTACAGTAACATTAGAAACAGAGCAAATAAATACTCCCAGTGGGAACTGAGCAGACAATCACGACAGGCTTTGGCCTCTGTACCGTATTTTTTGGTGCTGTGGCCAAGTACTTGATAAATACATACCATTTTCAAAGTTATTTCCATCAGTTTGTTTTTTACCTATTTACATTTTTCTCACTGTTACAGTTTCCTTTACCATTTCCTTTATTTTTACAGTTTGCTTTCATATTTAGTTTTCTTTGTCATTTGCAGGGGCTGAAAAAGAACTGGGAAGAAGTGCATAAAGAGTTCCAGTCTCTCTCAGTCTTCATTGACTCCATACCAAAGAGGATGCGCAAGCAGAAACTGGAAGGAGAAATGAAGCAACTGGAACATGACATCGGTGTCATTGAAAAGCACAAAATTATTTACATTGCCAATAAGTAGTAATGGATTTTTCAAGTATGGCTACTTAATATAGGAAAAAAACATGGAAAATATGCAAATAAAACTATGTGTTTCAAAGAGGAAAATACTATGAAGAGAAATAAAAATAGTCTTTCCCAAAATGCTTAGGCAATGTTTAAAGAATAATTGGAATTTTTTTTGCTTACACAAGAGAAAAAAAAAAATTTTTTTTTTACCAGTGTCAGGTTTTCCACGTGTAAACCCATTAAAGTTTAATTTTATGTATTCCAGTTCTGTAATGTAAGTCATTATTATTATGTAGTTGTTTCACATAAACATTAATTTCTGGGCCCTGAAAAATAGTCAGTACTCAGAACTTTATTTACATTTGTTTTCTACACTGCATGATACAAGGAACACAACATTAAAAACTCTTTAAGTATTTTGAACTGGAGATAGCAGTATATGCTTTCTTACTACACTAAAGTGTTTTCCACATATTCATTCAGATCTTCACAAACTTAACAGTATATATTCTCTTGTAGCTTATGTCATCTGCAGCAATTTCCAACTATAAATATTTTCAATATCCATAATGCTATATATGCTGAAAGGCTTATACTGGGACTGCCAAAAAATGTATACACATTTTAGGAGATGTTATCTATGCTCAAGCAGTAATTTTCCATAATCAGAAGTGTCTACACGCTGATGGTAAGCACTTTGAGCATGTATTGTCATTGCAGAAGTCAAACGTGACTTGTATTCATCTTTTGTTATCGGTATATATTGAGTATTACAATTTTAATAGTTTTTTCCTTTCTTAAAATGTGTATACATGGTTTTTGGCACCCTCTGTATTTGGAAGAAGGAATATTAAGAAGATAACATAAAGTCAAGAAGACAACTTATAAAATGCATCATTGAGGATGATTAAAGAGAATAGCCTCCCTCCTGACATCCAACTTTTAAAAACTTTGCTACTCTGGGTGATTTATTTCATAATTCACTATATGTATTTCACTAAAATGGGATGCTACTTTTTTTTTGGTCCGTCTACTCTATGAACATGGGATACATTTCTGTTTATTTTTGTCTCTAATCCCTTTCAGCAATGTTTTGTAATTTTTATTGTACAAGTCTTTTACCTTTTTGGTTAAGTTAATTTCTAAGTATATTTGATGCTATATGTAAATAGAATGGTTTTTGTAATTTTCCTTTCAGACTGTTCATTGTTAGTGCATAGAAACACAACTGATTTATTAGTACTAACAGTTTTTTTGTGTGTAAAATCTTTAGGGTTTTCTACATATAAGATCGTATAATCTACAAACAGATAATTATACTTCTTTCTTTCCAATTTGGATGTCTTTTATTTTCCTTACCTAATTGCTTTGGCTAGAACTTCCAATACTGTGTTGAGTAGAAGTGGTGAAAGTGGGCATCCTTGCCTTGTTCCTGATCTTAGAGGAAAAGCTTTCAAGTCTTTTACCATTTAGCATGATGTTTACAGTGAGTGTTTAATATATGGCTTTTATTATGTTGAGATAATTTCTTTCTATTCCTAGGTTTTTTTTGTGTGTGTTCTTATCATGAAAGGGTGTTGTGAACATCAATTTTTAATTTTATTTTATTATATTTTTAACGGTTTTTTGTTTGTTTGTTTGTTTGTTTTTCTTTTAGCTGAGCCATCCTGCCACCTGTTGGTAGCTCAGCAGCAGCTCAGCTGGGGCCGGGAATCGAACCAGTGACCCTGTTGCTCAGAACTCGCACTCTTGAGCGAGCTCTTAACCAACTGAGCCATTCAGCTGGCCCGTGAACATCAATTTTTTAAACTAAGAAATATATTTTATCTGAATTCATTCTCTCTTAATTCAAGCTATGTGGGAAGACAAGTCATAATCAAAAGGGTACCTTGGGTAGAACAGAGTAAAAAGAAAAGAAATTTAGATGATAAAAATCTCTTCAGCTAACAGAGCTCATTCATTGTCACTGAACAAATACTGTCTACTACATGCCAGGAACTGTTCTGGTTGCTGGGCAGAAAAGTAAACAAAATAGCTATGTTGGAGGAAATAATCACACACATGCTTTTATAATTAGAAATTGAAATTAGTGATCTAAAAAAATAACTAGGAAGCTACATAAAAGAATATCAAGGGATTCTTAAATCAGATTTCATAGTTAAGAGAATGCCTTTCTGAGGATCTAACATTTCAAAATAGACTAAAGAACTAGTAGAAGTTGGGAGAGATGGGGAAGAGAAGAGAAAATAATTCCAAGCAGAGAGAATAAAATCTGTGGAGGATCTCAGGCAGGAAACCCTGAATGCATAGGAGGAAGGCAGCATTGGTGCTGAATTGTACTTACAGAAGGGACAAAGGTGCAAGCTGAAGAGGAAGAGGGAAGCAGGGGTGCGTTGACATTTTGTAAGCAGAGAGGTGGCATGATGTAATCAGTGGTTTTCAATGATCACTTGCTACAGAAATTGAAGCAAAAGGATGATTGCATGGGGGAGACTATCATAAGCTTCCCGGTAGATGGTAGTGGCATAAACTAAGGCTGTGGTAATGGAAACAAAAAGTAGCTGTTGGCTTCAAGGAATATTCACGAGGTAAACATGTAAGTTTGCTATGTCCTTGGAGGTTATTTACCTGGAATGGCTGCATAGAGTATACAAGGAGGTAAAGAATTGCCTGGACTGTCGTATCTCTGTGCAGAATGTGATGCATCGAAAGGAACAAGAGCACCTGATAAATTGGGTGGAGAAGCACGTGGTGCAGAGCATCTCTGCACAGAAAGAAAGACAATTGCCAAGTGCATTGCAGATCTAAACTTGCTTACAAAGATGGTCCAAGCACAGCCAGCTCTATAAATGCTGCTATCTCGACTGAGACAACTAGAAACAGTTGACAGACTAAATGGAAACCTCTTTGACAAAATCTTTATGTATTGCAGTCTACTGAAGTTTACAGTTTACCCTGCCCAAAAATGAAACGCTTGAGTTGCATATAGTGAGAGAATTAAAACAAACAATCTGTTGGCCAGTGGAGGGGGGGAATGTAAATTGGTGATAGAGTAAAAGGGGAAGAAGAGAGAGGTTTCAAGGATGAAAATTTCCGATTTGAGCAACTGAGCAGTGGAGGTGCCATTTTCTGAGCTGGAAAATCTGAAGGAGAAGAGATTGGGAGAGGTTATAGTGAAAAGATCAAGAACACAATTTTCGATGTGTTGTATTTAACCACAATCTTGTGACATCTAGTTGGAAATTAGATGGATGATAGATAAATGATTAGATAGATGATAGATGATAGATAGATAGATGATAGGCGTTTCAGTCAGAAAAGAAATCTGGGGTAGAGGGATAAACCTGGGAATTCAACAGCATGAATGAGATCACCTTGGGTCATAGTATTGAGTGTAAGGACAATGAATGAACTCTCAGCAAATCTTTCATTTAGAAGTCAGATGGGAAAGCAGGAAGAAGCAAATAGGTGATAGAATGAATATCCTGAGAGGTCAGAAGAAAACCAGGAAGCAAAGACAATTCAAGAAAGGAGCACCCGGGCTGACCGGGTGGCATGTTGGTTAAGAGCTGCCTTGGGACACCAGCTCTGACCAGCAGGACCCCGGTTAGGATCCCACATGAGGGCCAGTGACACTGCCCTCTACAGCTAAGATGGTGAACAACAGCTCAACCTGGAGCTGGGCTGCTGTGAGTCGCCTGCTGCAGTGGGCTGCCATAAGCTACTGTGTGTGGCTGACAGCCAATGTGAGCGGCTGGCAGCCGGTGTGAGCTGCCAAGAGCCACCGTGAGCAGCAGTCCAGAGGCCAGCGACCGATCTGCCTCACTCAGGAAGAGTGCAATGATCACAATACCAACATGGGCCGGTGAAGCGACATCCTCCACAACTAGACTGAAGAACAAAAGGACAGCAAGTTGTCTGTTCCCCTTCCCCCAATTCCCCAGCGCTGTTCCCCTCCCCCAATTCCCCAATTAAAAAATATATATATATTTAAAAAAAAAAAAGAAAGGAGCACCCTTTCCCTATGGTAGAAACTTGATAATGGGAATGAAATTCTCAATACCTTGGTCAAGCCTTCCTCTCCCCTGCTCTGAGCAGAATACAGGTCAATTTCTACATTGACTCCCCTGCTCCTGTTTTATATTTACAATCCAAACTCTTATGTTGAAATCATTTTATCTTCCTAGATACATTAATGTCATTGGTCAATGTCACCACATTAGCATGTAACTTAACGTGCCTATTAATGCAGCTCACATGAACATAGTCTGACCACCAATGTGAAAGAAACTTTTCAACAGTGCAGAGAAATTTTTCAGCAGTTAAGGAGGCCAATGCTGGTTAATATCATAAATAACTCTTGAGAGGACAATTTAATTTATCTTATTTCCAAGTTCTTAGTAACCTGCAGAAGGTGATTTATTCATAAACACTGGTTATTCCAAGTAGGAGACAAACATAGATAAGTGACAAAAAGAGCAAGATCATTTTTCTGAAGGTTAGTTTCTTCCTGCTGAGATGTGCAATGGTAAAAAAAAGTTGGTAGATTTGACTTAAACAGTAAGTTATGTGAACTTTGGGAAATCACTTAGTGTCTCTCAACCTTAGTTACATTTGTAAAACAAAGAAACCGGCCTAGATTTTGTCTGACCCTCATTTCAGTTCTAATTGTCTATCACTATAAAACTACATGACTATTTTCAACTTAGCTTAAGCCCAAGTTTGGTCTCCAAACTGATCAGAATGCAGATAAGCACTAGAGAATCCAGAGCCAACGATTTGCACCAACACTCATCAGCCCAACCCACCATTTCACATACTGGAAAGAATGTTAAGTAGAGTGAAAACCATCACTAGTTTTCAGATCTTTTTAGATGAAAACTTTCTTAATTATAGGCATTTGAGGTTTTCAACCATAGGGTGTTCTTCACTCTAAGGATTTTAAATAGATGTTCTCTTTAGGAAACTAGTGCTGAAAAAAAAGAAGGAAGAAAGGACAGGAGAAAAGGAAGAAAGGATGGGAAGAGGGATAGGAGGAGACAATTTTAAAATGAAATGGGATATGTCTTTTAGTTGGAAAGAATGGTTCCAATTATAGAAGAACATTCTCTCTGACCATGCCCACAGCCTCTATGCTCTTAGACAACATCTGTGACCAAAAAAGAAAAGAAAAGAAAAGAAATCTTGTCTTCACAATGTAAAATTGATTGATTCATTCATTCATTGCTGAATGAGGTCAGAGATGGCAACATTTTTTTCCTTAACACTTAATGTGCTTGATGAGAAAGAACTGTAGTTAGCAACAGACTAAATTAATGCTAATTATCCCTGAAAACTGAAGATACTGTTTCACAAGATTGGTGTAAAAAGGCCATGCCAATATTAATTTTAAACTGCATGTGCAGATACGGCTTTTAGATGCAGACGTTTTATTCTAAAGAATGCTGATTCTATAGCAAATAAGACTGCATGGTGATATATACTTTTTAACTGCCTTAACTTAGGAACTCAAATGCATGTTGTGTATGAAGCAAGGATATGCTATTATCTAAATGATCTTCTGACGTGGAAACATCTGTGGAATTCTTTTGGAATAAAAGCATCCACCCCATCCCTGAACTTCTGCCACCAAGTTCTCCTTTTCTGAATAGCCAGTGTTATCAATTTTTAATGTATT